AATTAAATTTACTAGAAGTCTGACAAAATGTTAATGCTGCAGTCTATTTAAAATGCTTAATCTGAATTCATTTAAAAAATGGTCTGAATTAATGATTAAATAATTCATTTATACATATACTTTACTTGTTTCATTACTGGATTAATCTGGGTTTTTTAACGAATCTCTTAAATGAATGATTCAATGACAAATACATGTGTTTAACAGTCACTTGTCGGCACCTACTGGTGTAACGTCACTGATATAATCTTTATCTGAAGCGTGCCACAGTGAAAAACTGTGACACAGTCATACCTACACATGACAACTGCCCTCTCTGTCTGGATCAGTAGGTGCATTGACATGAAGCATTGTGCTCTGAAAAAGCTCCATGTAAACAAATCAATTGAAATAAAAATGCTCAAACCGATTAAAATTTCAATTGCTTTAGAAAGGTGGGATAAACCTTCTCTAATCCATTAAATAGAACATGTAAACACTTGATCAAATTGAAAACTGAACTAGAAAAGTTTTGCGCATGTGTATTGAAGTAGAAATTATGTTTAATGCACAAAATGAGCTGATGTTGTAATATTATATTAAAGAATATAATAAATGACTGCCGTGTCAATCTAAAATTCTCTTTCTACTTATTGACTGAAGTGGTGCAGGACAACGTTGTCCCACAAGTGACTGTTTCGGACTCTGATCTGCAAGACACCAAGCATGGGAAGGGGTGTTTATTGCTTGGTTAGTATGAGCAGCACAGCACAAAACTTTGTGTGCTTGTCGTCTCCTAATTAGGATTAAAAATAAGACAGATGTTAAGTTTGCTTTTTAAAACAAATGGATGTTTACACCATGTCGACGCCAGTCGCGAGCAGCGCAGCACGGCGCGACTAAATGCAATACAACCCATTATAATCAGTGACTCGGTCTACACCGGATGCGATGCGACATGATAAATCCCCGACAGCAAACTGATGCTTCGTTCTATTTATGATGTACTGACACCTAGTTAAATGATTTTCAACGGTCGCTTTGTCGCGTCTAGTAGACAGACTTTAGCTGTTGTGCCATGGCGCAACATGACAACTGTCACGTCTGGTGTAGACATGGTGTTAGTATGCGACAACAACAATCGTTGTCATTTAGGAATAAGAGTAAATGGGGTTTGGATCTAGATTATGATCTTTAAACGATTAATCGTGCAGCTCTAATTTCTGATAATAGATGCGTCTCCATATATTTCTGATCATATTTTTAGAGAAACATTACACTTAATTCATAATAAATCATAATTATACATTGTATTAAAGGGATAGTTCACTCAAAAATAAAAATTATGTCATCATTTACTCGCCAAATCAGTTGACGGGCCCCATTGATTTCCACAGCAATTTTTTTCCTACTACTGTATGGAAGTCAATGGCTACTATGAACTGTTTGGTTATCACCATTCTTGAAAATATGTTTTTGTCTTCAACAGAAGAAAGAAATTCATACAGGTTTGGAAAAACATAAGGGTGATGAAGGGTAAATGATGGTAGAACTTTCATTTTGGGGTGAACTGTCCCTTTAAGTAAATTATGTAAAATCAAATTAAGTAAAATTATTACATTTAGTAAAATCAAAACATCTCGCATATCACAAAAGGTCAGTGAATCCATACCAGAAGTGACAGTGCAGTGTAGAAGATAAAGGACAATCCTCCTCCAAGTGGCCAGGAATCAAGCTGCGTTCACGGGCTGGCGATGAGGTTGCTTGGGCGTACTCACTACTGGTTGCTTTCACAGCGAGTCAGTTTCTTGACGCTAATTCAAATTCTCAGCTTTAAAACTGTAAGTAATGATTCAAAATTTAAACGTAATGCATGACAATCCCATCAGAAAAATGTGAATCCCCCCCAAAAAGACAGAGGAGTCACAAAAATGGACCCTTTCCATAAATATCATAGCAAGGTAAACAACTGTAGCTTTTAAAAAAAGCCCATTTGTACACCACAATCAAACCAACCTTCATATAATTTTCCCTGCAGCTGCATTTATCCTGATAGGACACATCTGAAGGTTGTGATGTTCTCCAGTGAATGAAATAAAGGACTGATGATGGTGACAAGTTCTATTCCCCTTTTCTTGTGCCACCTCAGAGGAAGAAAGACAACAGGAAAAAAAGGTTACTAATTTTCTATCACAAGTGGAGGAAACATCTTACAAATGCACTTATGATTAGAATCATACTTAAGATATTAATCCCAATGTGAGGTCTAGAAACGGTTAAAACTGAATAACATCTTACTCTGTGTTGGGTGCCTCTTTTCCCTGAAAAACGTGTGCTTGATCTAAAAATGTAAACCAATATCTTATCATTAGCAGTTATCAGTATTTGTAGAGGTGAAAAAAATAAAAATTACTCCGAAACTGTCATCGACACAAGCATAACAAATATAAAACATTTCTCAACTTTCCTATATATTCCAGTGTTTCCGAGTGTAAATTGCAGTTTTCTCATTCACTGTACTTATTCCGATGCTCCTTTACTCCTCACGAGTTTGAGTTTTAAACTAGCTGACATTAATTAATAAAAACACACAGATCATTGAAATGCATAACTACTAGCCAGCGCGCTGACGCTAATCGCGATTAACCTCTCACTCACATAAATTATGGACACAAAACATAACTTTACGTTGGTTTGACTGAAAAATGTTGTGTTACCTGATATGCAGTCTGCCCCTTCCTCTGTGTTCACACTCCAGCTTCTGTTCTCCGTTGACATGTCACAGCTCATATTAGTTTAAAATAAGAATGTAACAGCACATAATCAGGAACTGAGGGACCGAGTAATCTCGCGGGTCAGTAGCAAACACACAGCACCAGACTAGGCGTATATTCAAACCTGACCAGTAAGAAGGCGCGCACTTTTGTCATTGGCCAATTTCGTGGATGACAGTCAGATTAGCCAATCATGATGAAAGCAACCAGGTGAAACAACCATTTGCAATTGTTTCAGAGTGGTAAAGGTTTTTTTTTTAAAGAAACGTGTGTATTTTTTAGGCTGTATTATTTGTTTAGTTCAGTGTATGAATAAAAATGTAATAATGAATTGCAAACTGTAGGCACCTACACAAAATTGTAAATCCACACAAAATCTCACGCTCTTGAGATTAAAACTGCATCCATTATACTTATTGTTAATAATGACAATAATTATATTTGTACATATACATTTGGATTTTTGAAGAGGTGTTTTGATCAAAATATCATAAAATGCTAATAAATAAAATATGAATGATCATAATAATTCAAAAGGCAGATATTTCTTGTTAATGACATGACATTGATTCAATATAGATATTTAAAAAAAAAATTTTTTTTGAATGATTTGTTTTTGGTAAAAACTTTTTTTCAATGATTTAGCATTAAACTTCATATCAACATTGTGTAAACGTTAAAACAGCAACTGACATTATTTCAATCATATTTCAACTTTGAAGGTTGGTCATGTGCCAACTAGACTGACCAGAAAAGTCTGTACTGTTGGTTCAAAAAGAAAACTGAACACAATATGCTAACTGAATGGAACTTTATTCTGAACATCTGTATCATTTGCAGCAAACACGATTTCTGGATTTTTCCATCAGAAACATGAATTTCAATTCTATCTTTCTTCACTTGGGCTATTTCATTATCTGTTACTAACCAACTGACCATTACACTCTGGAGTACTTCTGTGGAATCAGGCAGCTTTTGCTAGGGGTTTGAGTTCTTCTACCCATCTCAAAGCCACTATAATCCAATTATTTTGATAGATAATTGGCTTTCTGTAACCCGTTTTTCATGGTGACCCAACTAGGACCCACGTAGGGAGCCCATCTGTTTTTGCCAATGTGGGACCTACTTAGCTGACCCAAGTGGGCCCCAGATAAGATGCCCATTTTGGGACCATGCCCACTTGGTACCCATGTAGACCCAGCATAAAACATGTGGGGCCCACATATACATGTTGGCTGGGGTATTACTCCAATTCATAAAGGAGGTGATATTATTGATCCACAAAATGATAGACCAATATCGATAATTTGTGTTATTGTCAAAGTATTTGAACAATTAATCTATAATTAGATATCAAAGTATTTTGAAAATAATAATATTTTATCACCGTTTCAATCTGGATTTAGGCCGAATTATTCAACAACTAGTGTTCTTCTTAAGCTGACTAATGATGTATATTCAGCATTAGATAGTGGTGACCTTACAGGTGCTATTTTTATTGATCTTAAAAAGGTATTTGATCTACTTGATCATTACCTGTTATTATATACGTTGTATGCAATTGTTTTTTTTTCCTCAAAATTCTTTATTGTGGTTTAATTCTTATTTACATAACAGAAAACAATGTGTGGTTATTCAAGGGAAACAATCTGATTTATTTATTCAAGAAAGATGGGTACCACAGGGCTTAATATTGGGTCCTCTTCTTCTTTCTATGTTTATTAATGATCTCCCCTTAGTTCTTTCGCATTGTTCTGTTCATCTGTATGCTGACGATACTGTCATTTATGTTTCAAATCCTCATTTAACTCAAATTCAAAATATGCTTCAATCAGATTTGAATGCTTTACAAGAATGGCTCCATTCTAATAATTTACTACTTAACTAAGGCAAATCTCATACCATGGTCTTTGGTACAAAGCGTATGTGTAAATCAAAATCTAATAAAATAAAAAATAATGTTTAATGATGGTACATACTTGCAAAGAGCGGATCAAATTAAATATCTGGGCTTATGGCTGGATCCAGAACTTTCTTTTAAACATCACATTGACTATATACTTCGTAAGATTAAGTTTTGAACCAGTGTACTGTATCAATCAAAAAACTGTTTTTCTTTTAATGTAAAAAAAAAAAAAAAAAACTTGCTTTACAACTTATATTACTGTTTTTTTTACTATGCTTATGTAGTTTATGTAGTTAATACAACTAAAACGAATCTTCTGCCTCTTACTACAGCCCATAATAAATTGTGTAGATTTGTCATTGGATGTTCATACACACCATTGCATTATGTATGATTTACTTATATATCGATATCAACACTTAAATAGTTTACACTTAATATCAGAAGTCAAACTCACTGGTTGCAATTTATCTTCAAATGTATAAATTTTAACTATCCTAATTATTTGCATCAATATTTGATATTATATTCTTCTACATATCATAAAAGCCATTTAGATATAAGTCTCCTGCAAATTGGAATAATCTACCTTTAAATGTATGATCTTTGACCTCATTATATATGTTCAGAAATTGTTTGTTTTCTTGTTTTGAAACTTCTTGTAATTGCTTTAGATGATATATCTATGTTTATGTTTATATGTGCTAGGCAAATTTAAATAATATGGTAACACTTTACATTAAGGTTCCCTTTATAAAGTGTTCATAAAGGTGTTTATAAATGACTAATAACTCATTTACAAATGCATTATAAATAATTGATAAGCAGTTATAAATGCATGAATAAAAAGGGTGATTTTAATGCAATACCTGCCAAATAGTGAGCCATTTTTAACTCATATGTTATAAATGCTTAATAAATATATTTATTAATACTTATTTCACTCAAAACCAGATTCCTGATTTATTTAATTATGCACCAACAATTTACTTTTATAGCGAGTCTAAAGGGTGTTATTTATATTTTTCTCATTTATATCTCATAACTTATTAACCTTAATGTAAAGTGAACATATTTGAATAATTTATTAATGAGTTTTAAAAGTTAATAACCTGTGAAAGTGAACCTTAATGTAAAGTGAACACATGTGTATTAACCTTAATGTAAAGTGAACATATTTGAATAATTTATTAATGAGTTTTAAAAGTTAATAACCTGTGAAAGTGAACCTTAATGTAAAGTGAACACATGTGAACCATTTATTAATGAGTTTTAAAAGTTAATAACCTGTGAAAGTGAACCTTAATGTAAAGTGAACACATGTGAACCATTTATTAATGAGTTATAAAAGTTAATAACCTGTGAAAGTGAACCTTAAGGCAAAGTGAACACACTAATCATTTATTTATTATTAATGCACACACTGAAGGGTATTTTTTCCAGGTGAAATGTATTTTATTGTTGATGCACTATATCAGTAAACACAACAACTTGAAACAACATTCCTGAGAATAACTGCACATGAAAAGTGGCTTATACAAGTAAACTCACATTAAACAATTCAGAAAAAAACAATAAAGTATTCCACCAAATTATAACTAAGCATCACATCTATATGACAAAAAAATATTTGATAAATGCAAGCTCAATAAAGGCACCTAAATATTTATATTTTATCTAATGTAACAGTTTTGAGATAATCATTAAATCAATGACCGAAAGCACCGTTACAGAACATTATCATAATAATAAGCAATCAGCCCACTGTTACATGAGTGTTTGAGTATCCACACTTTCAGTAACTGCACGCGAGTGAACCATCCGCGGGAGCGCCGGCGCAGTTATTTATTTGTACGGTAACTACACTGAACTAACACAGCGATATCAGCACTTGAAAAACACAGTCTGCAATGTTACCTCACAGTTAGCTTACCCATAAAATCGGTAAACACATATGTGAGATTTAAATTTCATTTCAGAGCTGGTTAAAACAGTCCTAACAGCGTGACATCTTCTCTTGAAAAGTGGCTTTGTATCGAATGCTCACCAGCGCCAACTACAGGCAACACGCAGGCGACTACATACGTGGGCTTTGG